CCCCCCACACACACACAAAACGCAAAATACCCCACAACAAGACAAGTGAACACACTTGAAGATGATATCAATAAATCCCTATGCCCCAAAATGGACGAGTGCCTGATTCCACCTTGTCATGACACATATGACAAAGCACCAGGCCCACACAACGTACTCACTGAACTGATCCCAGCACTAGAAGAGGTGGGTATTAAAGAAGTGACAACATTGATGAGCATTATAATGTAACATCGGAGAGATACCAGAATATCGGAAGAAGTCAATATTTACAGCATTGCCAAAAAATTCTGGTAAAGTAGAATGTGAGCAGCACAGAACAATCAGTCTTATGAGTCATTTTACTGAAGTCTTACTGGGGACAGGGCCTACTAATGGAAATAACGAGATATAAAATACTTCCTGAAAACTGAAGGAAAGATCGACAGTGGTCTAGAAAGGCCATAAACTCTTCTTCATTGTCTACTCTAAAGCATTTAACAAAGTAAGACACACTGTTTTATTAAAAGTCCTAACAGTTCTGAACATTGATGAAAAAGACCTCAGAATCATGAGAAGTGAACACACTTTAAGATGACATCAATAAATCCCTATGCCCAAAAATGGACGAGTGCCTGATTCCACCTTGTCATGACACATATTACAAAGCACCAGACCCACACTACATACCCACTGAACTGATCCCAGCACTAGAAAAGGTGGGTATTAAAGAAGTGACAACATTGATGAACATTATAATGTAACATCGGAGAGATACCACAGGACCTGAAAAAGTCAATATTTACAGCATTGCCAAAAAATTCGGGAAAAACAAAATGAGAGCGGCACAGAACAATCAGTCTTATGAGTCGTTTTACTAAAGTCTTACTGGGGGCAAGGCCTACTAATGGAAATAACGAAAAACAAAATACTTCCTGAAATCTCTGAAAAGAAATATAAGTTTGTTTCGAATAAAGGTACCCACAATGTCATTTTTTGTCCCTTAAGGAAACTGAAGGAAAGATCGACAGAGGTCTAGAAAGACCATTACCTCTTCTTCATCGAATACATTGGCAAAGTAAGACGTAATGATTTATTCAACATCTTAACAGATCTGAACATAAATGGAAAAGACCTAAGAATCAAAAGAAACCTTTATTGAGAATAACAGGCAGCTATCAGGGTCCACAACGATCTCAGCAAACACAGGCCAATCCGCAGAGGAGTACGACAAGGATGTGTCTTATCGCCATGTGTCTTTAACTTATACAGCGAAATGATAATGCGCAACATCAGTGATGTAGATGGATTCAAGGTAGGCGGCCACAATATTAACAGCCTAAGGTACGCTGATGATGCAGTCTTGATAGCTGACTCTGAGTCTAAGCACAATGAGATTCTGACTAGAGTGACAAAGAAAAGCGGGGAAAGGGGCCTACTGCTGAATGTCAAGAAATCGGAATGCACGATGATATAAAACAATTCTGATATTCCCATATGCAACATTACATGTAAGAACTAAAGAATAAAACAGGTCAACAGCTTTTTAAATACATTGTTTGTTTAATTGTACCAGATGCAAAAGGTGGCACACAGATACAAAAAGACGGTTGCAATATCTACAGGAACGTTAAGTAAGATGAAAGATATCCTCACAAATAGAAACATAACAGTGAACACAAAAAAGGAAACCTGGAAGGATACGACGTCGTATGGTCAATCCTCTTGTATGGATGCGAGAGCTGGACTCTAAACAAAGACACAGAGAGAAGACTTGATGTCGTTTAAATGTGGTATTTGTTCATAATCTCATTGACAACGACGAAAATAAAATAACAGAGAAGTGCTACAAATGGCAGGATGGGAAAGATCCAGAATCAGAACCATTAGAAAAAGACAGATGAAATCGTGTGGCCACGCAAATAGATGAAATGGACAAGAGAAACTGTCGTTGTGTGGAAAGACAGAGGGAAAGAAGAGCAGAGGAAGACAAAAAGCAATATTCACAGATGGCCTGAACAACTTTGCAACGAATACCACAAAGAGAAAGACAGAGCTGATCGAGAAGACAGACCACAGGAAGGAGTGGCGTTCCATGATCGTCAATGTCTGCAAAAAATGAAATGGAATAAGTTTAACGCCCCTATAGACACGGTTACTGTTAGGTTATTTAAGAGGCGGGAACTCCTAGTCTGACGTCCTTCTCCGAAAAACAAACAAACCCTGAGGCATAGTTGAAATTCGTGTAAAGTGCTTTTCCCAAGGATATTACGTCGGACCAAGCTGAGGCTCGAACCCCCAAACCCGTGATCTCAGGATTATGAGTCCGGTAGTCTAACCACAGGTCTACAGACACCGCTTTAATGTCCACTTCGGATCTGACGCCTGAAGAAGAAGAAGAAGAAGAAGAAGAAGAAGAAGAAGAAGAAGAAGAAGAAGATCAACTCGGTGCGGGCCACGTATACGGGTCAGACAGAAACTTCCTGAAGGGCCGAATCTATCTGGCCTACGGGCGTAGTTTTTCCCTTCCCTGGGTAGTTGGTTGGTAAACAAAGTCATTGCCTGTTGTCTGTCGTAACTGACGAGGCATCTTTACAGATATAATTAATGAATATAAAGTCAATTTAAACTCAATAAGGTTGTTAGGGAGGTGGACCCTATAAACTATGGCCATTTCCGATCATCATCATCCAGTGCCAGATCTGCGACAGACATTGGCGATCATGGTTTTCCTTTCATTCCTCGGATGCTCTTAAAAAAGCTACGTTTCCCTAATCTTTTCCTGTTACCCATTTTTTTAGGTTCCCTAAGTATGTTGTTCAGGCCATTTCCGATACAAAGAAAAAAAGAAACCCTGAAGGGTTTGAGTAGGGAAGCTCGTTTTCGTGTAGGAAAGTGCGCGGTATTTTCTCCGTTTTCGTTCGTGTGAGAAATTGCACGTTTTATTCTCTGGGGTTTTTTTTCAGCATAAGTACACTATATACTGCTACCTGGGGGCTAGAAGAGACACAATATCCCTGCTGAAAGACAGATATACTCAATACAAGAGGGTACTGAGGCGGGGCGGTTAGTGCGCTTGTCTCCGAAGCGGAAAGTCCGGGTTCGAGCCTCGGTTAGAACACGGAATTTTTTCACCCCCCCCCCCTCTGCCCATCCAGCTGTAATGGGTACCTGATTTCGAGTTGGGAAAGTAAAGGCTACGTGGAATGTAACTGGCCACCCTACCACCCTACCGAAGGGCCAGGAAGTTGTTTCACTAACAAAGCAATCCCCAAAGTCCGGATCGGATGCGGGAACAACTTTACATACTCAATACAAATTCTCCAGACACGGGAATCAAACTCA